AAGTGGAACAAAGGAAACAGCAATGAAAGGATTTGGAGGATTGCAGATATCTCCAAATGTTTTACTGTTAAAGAATATTACAGAGGTGGAGGGGGGGGGTATGGCTTTGAACATGATGATGGAAATTTTAAAATTGAGTCGCAGCTAGATCAAGATTTATCATTGGTTGATCAGTGAAGGTGATAACGTGTGAATGAGATCTGGTCCATGTTAAGGTGCAGTGGAGTTTTGGATGAGCTGAAGTTTACAGATGATAAAAGATGGAATGTCAGTCATGAGATCATTGGAATGGTCAAGGCTGGAAGGAACAAAGACACATTTCATGAATATAATACAAGACATGTGATTATCTTTCTGAAACACCCTAGGTGGGAGTTGCTGTTGAATGCCAACATTGCCAAGTGAACACAACCTGAAACAACATTCAGAACAGAGATCCTGGTTAATAGTAATTTTCCCTTTATGAGTCAGTGTATATTCAGAATATGAGCCATCACTTGCACACTTCCTAATGCATAGTGCCACTGAGAGAGGCTTTGCACCCATTGCACATGATCAGAAAATTAAACCCTGGTTTGAATACCCTGTCGTTCTTGTTCGACTCTCAAGTAGAAACCATAGCCTTGAGGTCCCTTAGTTAGCTGTGCAATCCGTGGTTGGAGGGGCAGTCCTTTCACACTTGCCATCGATGCCACAATCTTAATCATTTTGCTTTTGAAGTATTTGTCTGAGGTCTCATCAATCAGAAGCAGCATGATATTGTTGCCTGAAGCTTTCATCTGAAAAAGATTGAACACAGTTAAAAATACTTGGGAATCATATTTCAAAAAAGGTTTAGCCAGTGGCAACAGTGTGACAGCATGACCCTGTTGTTATGTACTTTGTTCAAAACAGGGAATTTATTTTGAAAGGCAACTATTTAGCAATTAATTTTGGACACAGCAAAATCTGAAAAATAGTAAATCTGAGAAATATCCAATAAATCTGTTTATTTAAGTCAGTTAAGAGGTGGAATGATGGTCAGGACATTAGGAGAACACCCTACTCGTTTTTTTTAATAACAGCAATAACTCTTTTACATCCATTGTTCAGTTGAACAGGATTTGATTTGATTCACAGTGAAAAGTATCATCGTACCTGCTTTATAGGCAGACCGTACTATACAAGCGCACCAGGGTAACAAACAAGAGTGCAGGATACAGTATTACAGCTGCCAAGAAGGTGCAAAGAGAGATCAAAAATATTAACATTTCATAGGTCCATTTACAAGTCTGATAACACCGAGGAAGAAGCTGTTCTTGAATCTGTTCATACATGTATGCGAATTTTTATATGTTCTGCATGATGGAAGAGGGTGGAAGAGAGTAAAACTGGGGCGGGAGGAGGTTTTGATCATGTTGGTTACTTCCCAATGCAACGGGAAGCATAGATGAAGTCAGTGAATGGGAGGCTGGTTTGTGTGATGGATAGGGCTGTATTCACAACTTTCTGTGGTTTCTTGTGGTGTTGGGAAGAGTGGTTGCCATACCACACTAAGATGCATCCAGATAGGACGCTTTCTATGGTGCATTTCTAAAAATTTGTAAGAATCTTCATGGACATGTTGAATTTCCTTCGCCTCCTGAGGAAGTAGAGGTGTTGTTGTGCTTTCTTAAGCATAGTGTCAACATGGGTAGACCAGGACAGATTGTTGGTGATCATCGCTCCCAGAAACTTGACACTCTCAACCATCTCCATCTCAGCACCATTGATGCAGACAGGGGTGTGCCCTCCACTCCACTTTCTGCAGTCAATGACCAGCTCCTTCCTTTTGCTGATGCTGATGGAGAGATTGCTGTCTTTACACCATATCACTAAGCACCGAATCTCAGTCCTGTACTCTGTCTCCTCGTTGTTTGCGATCCGACCTACAACGGTAATGTCATCAGCAAACTTGTAAATGGAGTTGGCGCAGAATTTGGCCGCATAGTTGTGTGTGTATAAGGAGTTCATGGGTTCAGGCAAGAAAATGATTGGTTGTTTCCCTTGGGCATTGGCCAGAAGAATCTAAAATATGCTCTTTGCAGTCCAGTTCCTATGAAATGAACATACCTATAATCCAAAATTTCTCAATTTCTGGAATGTCAGACAACATTCTGTAACTCAGCAAAAGAACTCCTTAGTAGTGGAATGGTAATGATATTTCAAACTGCTCCTTGAGATTGCGTTTAGGATGTCAAAACCTGTAGATTGCTTTATAAATGATAGGCCCAGCAACAGGAATTGCTTGCACCTGTGTACATAAATGATGATGTCTGAAAGATTAGGTTTCCCATAGTAGCCGGAGCTGTCTCTCTTTCCTCTGAGTGTGGTTGGCTAGGTGTTGTAAAAAATGTTCGCATCTTGTTCTGCTGGAATCTTCTTTGGGTAGATGTTCTGTCAACTGATGATCTTTATACCTTAAAGAAGCTGTTAACATTCCTTTAATTTTTGCAACAATTTGGACAATTTGCACAATGCTGTTTCTTGCTCCCAACTCATTCATATCTTTTTTTAACTGAAAAAAATGGCAAAGCTGAGTTTCTGTTCCTCTAAGAATTTTCAGTTGTACAATTAAAAAAAGCTTAATCTTCAAAGTTATTATCTTTAATAAAATCTACTCCGACCCTTAACTTTTAGGTTATAAACTATCAAACAATGTTGTCAGTCTGAAGAATGTTTAAAAGAATTACCATGTTTTTCTGTAGATTGTAACTACAATTTTTAGCAAGGAGAAAAGGTATTTGTTTATTTAATGTAATGACTTAAGCCTCCTTTCATTTTCCCAGGCCAGAATGTTGCTGTAACATTAGGGGTTTTCAGCCTTCCTCTATGAGACTGAAGTTATTTCTTGGAAATGACATCAATGACTTTTTCCTGATTTGCAATTCAGATATATCTCCAAATAGCTTCATTGAGATTCTTTCTGGTCCTGACTAACTTTTCTGTAATATTTTACGTACTTCTGCTACTTTGAATTCTTAAAACCTGTTTACTACCATAAATCTTCCAACCTAAGCTGACTGAGTGCAGTTTCTGCTGCAGGAGTTGAGTGGATCTGTGCTCCTTTTGATAGAGGCAATAGCAATATTTTAGTAGAGTACTTTCTTCACCCTTCTCTTTCGGTGACTGTGAATTCCCACACTGCAAATGATTTTGTCGGACTAGAAGCAGCTCTCACTGCATTGCCAACAAATTGTTAGTGATGCTTGCAGCTAGCACCTGATTCTGCAGATCCTTCAGGTAGATATGCTGCACCAGTTCTTCTTGCAATATAAAGCCATGGGCCTTACTAGTATTAAGTGATGAAGGATTAACCATTAAAAGAGTCAATGGCAGAAGAGGCATGTGCTTGAGTCACAAGAAATAGTTGACTAGACACTAACTTAGATAACGGCTCTATTAGCTTAAGACTGGCTAACTCGATAACGTTCGGCTGGGGGCCCCCCCTTGTTGGGCAGTGGTAATGTCCCTAGCCCTGGAACAGGAGATCTGGGTTCAAGTCCCGCCTACTCCAGAGGTGTATAATAACTTCTCTGAACAGGTTGATTAGAAAAATAGGTGAAAAAAAATATCATTTGGTACTAGACATTGGTATCTCCAGGGCTTCCCAAAGTGGAGCTTTAGATAGCAAATGTGCACACCTACTGAAATATTGGGATCACAAGTTCCAACACAGCAACAGGAGGATACTTTGTGCCTAACCCACACCCCGTCTCACAGGTCTTTCCAACCTTGGTCCCTCAAGTTTTCTATCCCCTACTATCAGCCCTCTCCTCAGCCAGAGATTGCCAAAGGTCAGCTCTTGATCACTGAGGAGTTGGAACAATTCTCAGGCCTCAGTGAGGTCACAGTGTAAAATTCTTTTGGGAATGAATGTCAAATACCAGGCTAAGTTACATTGTTGTTAACAATAGAGAAAAGATTAAGGGACTAGAACTAGAACAGCCAAGTAGAACTAACTAACTCCTTCCAGAGTCTGCATAAATATGTCTGAGGATAGAGCTACACAAAGGCTTCAGAGTTAAGCCTTTCAGATCAACTGCCCGATACAACCCCACCAGCAAGAGTGATCTTATGGTATCCGTCAACAGACCTGCATACTGTTTTACTGGTAGGATTATAGTAACAAAGTGAAAAAATTATGGTGACATGAGGAAACTTTTTATTAAGTGAATTGTTATAACATGCTCACTGAAAGGGCAGTATAGGTAGAATCAAATATAATTTCAATGAGAGAATCGAAAACGAAAACGTTGGCCAGGCTATGGGCAGAGAACAAAGAACAAATTGGATAACTCTTTCAAAGAGCTGGCGTAGCCACAATGGAGCAAATGGCCTCTTTCACTCTGTGTAATTCAATAAAGAAATAAACTACAAATTTGATTAAATACTGATTGCCGACATTATCGTTACCATTTTAATGCACACCAGTGGTCAATTTCAGGATAATTCCGGTGAAATGGGGTGATTAATTCACAAACACTCAGATACAATCTCAGTGCCAGGATTGAAATAATCCATCTTGACAAACAAACATCATCAGGCCTAAAGTGACCTTCTGCTGTACAATGTGCCTTAATTCACTTGTTATTCAGCTGGTGACACTTTACTCACACCGTCTGACACTCTTATCACCTGCAGATACCTATTATTTGGCCTGTTGACACTCCACAAACACCATTTGTGTGATCTTTTGATCTCTCTGATTATAAATTCTGTGCCTGGGTGCTCTCTCCACTTCACCTGACGAAGGAGCAGTGCACGGAAAGCTTCTTATTTCAAATAAACCTGTTGGACTATAACCTGGTGTCATGTGACTTCTGGATAAGAGATGAGCATTGGAGGAGCACTGAGATTGCAGAAACTTGTAGGCCTTGAATAGATTAAAGAAATGATGGTGGGTCAGGGTGAGCGGATGAGGTGATGGAAGGGTTTGAACACATGGATGAAGTGTCAAATTAGATGTGTTAACCCAAGAGCCAATGAGCACAAGGTGATGGAAAAATGAGACTTGCTATGGATAGCAGAGGGATGTGAGAAGTTCTCACAGCAACCATTGTCATGGTTTCAATGTTAGCAACTGACCAAGTATTAGTTGACTTCCTTGAGTTGGGTCATTTTAAAGTTCTGGAAAGTTTTGTAAACTTTTCACTATATAGCAAGAATTTCCACCGTAACCTCTCTATATCACTTTAATCCTTAAGAACTTTATTTAAACCTACTTAATTGTCCAAGCTTTTGTCATTTGTCTTACTATCTCCTTATTTAGATCAATGCTTTATAATTGCTCCTATGAGCTGCCTTAAGGTGTTCTACTACATTAAAGGTGATATAAAAATGCAAATTGTGTATGTGCAGCTAAACAGAGTCTGCACCTCATCATTGAGTAGTTTTGCTGTCACCATTCTACTTGGTTTGTGTGGGAGACGAAAACCACTTACTGATCTAACTAGAAAAGACTCTTGTATTGAACAAGGCATAATTTATTGCATACTAGTAACTAGTTACATTAATTTGATTACATTGTTAGAGACTATAAGGAGGACCTAGATATTAGGTTACTCATTTGAGATCCTAAGTTGTTCTGCCAATAAATCTACATGATGTCAATCATAGTGGAATGGAGAAGGGGGTGACTATGATACTCCTCAGTATTAATTTTTCAGACCCTTTCAGACCGATATACGTCTCACCACCAAGCTCTTTTTCCCATTATTAATATTATACGTCAGTATATTTAATTACACTTACTGCTATCCCATCTCCCCTCCAAGACTCTGCAGGTTCAAGCTACCTGGAGATTTCACTCTTTTCCCAGATCATATTCTCTTTAGACCTGGAAGACTGATAGTTTCCGGGGTGGAAGACTATTGTCTGTAATTGTTTTGATGATAGCCTGAGCTTTGTAGGTCTGTTTAGACTGGAGAACTTTAATCTCTTTCATACTGATTGCCAACTGTTACTGTTCTATTGCACATCAGAATAGTTATAATGATTCCATGATTTGCCTGTGAAATAAGGTGATTAAGTCACAAACACTCAGATGCAATCTCTGTACCAGGATTGGAATAATCCAGCTTGACAAATAAACACCATCAGGCCTAAGTTGTCTTTCTCCTGTGTGATGAGTCTTAATTCTGACTTCAAACTGACCAGTGCTAATCTCTTATCCAGCTCTTATTTCCTTTGCTGTATCTTCATGCTGAGCTCTGGAATTCCCACCCTAAACCTTCACAGAGGATGACTTCTTTGACTTCTTCTTTCCAGTATCTCAAATAGTTGGATATTGGTCAGCCCTTCTCAGTGATGGCTTTCATGGAGTCGTATGCATTACATTTTCAATCTGCTTCAGCAGATGTCTATTCTCAATCTGCCTGAAAATGTATACTGAAATATGTAAACTCATAGCTTCAACTTTTTCATTGGTTTAGATATTCTCAATCGCCCTCAGAGGCAACATTATTGCTGAAATCAACATGTTCCTCTCCTCAGATCTACTATTTGCGGATTATTTCTTGCTTGGTATGAGCTCTGTCACTGCTATTGAGTATTATTCCTGTGTAGGTAAGGACATCAAATATTCTGCTTGAACTTCTCTTCCAAGTCACACAATATCTAACATCAAACTTCAATCCACCATAACTATTTGTTCGCCACTCTGTATTGCTCTCTGAGGTATATCAATTGACTCAACTGGCTGCCCTATTCGTTATCCGTTTCACTGTGTATGTTTCCTTAGAGGCTTTGCTGATTCTTGCAGTCTGAACTCCCTTTCGTAGTGATAGCAGTGGAACCCCTTTCTGCCAAACAGTATAGTCTCAATTTCTGAGATAGTAAGAACTGCACATGCTGGAGTCAGAGATAACACAGTGTGGGGCTGGAGGAACACAGCAGGCCAGGCAGCATCAGAGGAGCAGGAAAGCTGACGTTTCGGGTTGGGACCGTTTCTGAAGAAGGGCCTGCTGTGTTCCTCCAGCTCCACGCTGTGTTCCTCCAGCTCCGCACTGTGTTATCTCTAGTCACAATTTCCCATCTCATTGGCAGTATGAAGCAATTTTTAACTACTTTCAATGGATTCCTCTTTCTGTTTGGGTTCCATCATGAGTCTAGAGACCCTATGAAATCTTCTATGGGTTTGCCTTTGAACAGATGTTCCTTGGCAAGTTGTTCTTTGACTGGCTGTTCTTTGCCTTTAACTATTTTAACTCCTGCTACTTGAAGAAGGTTGAAATCAAAATACACATTCTAACTGAAGTATGAGAATTCTTGATTGATGAACGATAATGTCATCGTAGTGGGTTGTACTTGTGGCACTCTTCTGCATAAAGTCTTTCAGATCCTTTCAGACCCATACACCACAGTTATTATAAAGCAAATGTCATTATATATTCAGAGAATAAGTCAAGATATTGCACGAGCACCTTAGTCACCAATTGCTGATGAGAGGCGTTTTCAACATTTTCCCCGTTTAGTTCAATTATTCGGTCATTGGGTTCAACTCCAGCATTGAAAGCAGCACCAGCAGGGGTGATCTCAGTCATAAACAGACCAGGCACTCCTGCAAAATGGAAGATTTAAGTAAATACTAATGACAACAGATTCCCAGGCTAATTCATGCAGATTCCAGATCCTCAAGAATCAATGATGGAAAATAACATGCTCATTCTTTGAAAGTATGGATAATGTCCTTTTTTCAATATGTGCCCTGCACATCATTTTTTCAAACTTGCTCCTGTAAAATAAGACTGTACCTACTTTTGAATCATTTATCTTTCAGCTAAGTTTATATTCTCCAAAATATGATAGTGATTCACCTTTTGGTCTTTATGTCATTATTAATCTTACTAATTATGGCATCTTAAGCAACTGTATCCTTTCAACACAAACAGCTATTTTCACACAATAGTTAGCACTTTGTTAAGATGCACTCAGTGCAAAACCAGATAAAAGTAACATCTCATTATATCCAAATGCAAAAACAAATAAAGAACTGCAGATGCTGGAAAGCTGGAACAAAAACAGAAATTGCTGGATAAACTCAGCCGGTTTGGCAGCACCTGTGCAGAAATGTCACTGGACCTGAATTGTTAACTCTGCTTTCTCTTTACAGATGCTGCCAGACCTACAGAATTTCTCCAGCAACTTCTGTTTCTCTGCCACTCGAATAACAACTCATCCCCTGTTTTAAATCTGTCCGCCTCAGCCTTGAATATACCTGACGAGCAGCCTCTACAGCCATCTATAGTAAAGAATTCCTCAAGTTCACAACCCTTTGAGAGAAGAAATTTCTCCTCTTCTGTTCTAAATGGGCAACCTGTTATTATGAGATTTTGCCATCTGGCCCAAGATTCTCCTAAAGGGGAAACAACTTTTCCACATCTACCCTGTCAAGTTCTTTAAGAATTTTGTATGTTTCAATAAGGTTGCCTCTCATTCTTCCAAATTCCAATCATTATATGCCCAGCCTACTTAACCTCTTCTCATAGGACAGTCCCTTCACACCTTGGATCAACCCAGTGAGCCTTCTCTAGACTGCCTTCAATGCCAATATATCTTTCCTTAGATAAGGGGACCAAAACTGTTTGCAGGATTCCAGCTGTGGTCTGACTAGTGCCTTGTATAGTCTTAGCAATAGCTGCCTATTTTTATACTCCATTCCCTTTCAAATAAAAACCAAAATTCCAATTGTTTTTTCTATTACCTGCAAACTTGGATGCTAGCTTTCTGTGATTCATTCATAAGGGGTCCCAAGTCTTTCTGTGCTGCAGCTTTCTGTAGTATTTCTCCATGTAAACAATATTCAGATCCTCTATTCTTCTCGCCAAAGTGCAGAGCTTCACTTTATCCCACATTATATTTCATCTGTCAAGTTTTTGCTCACTCACTCATCCATACTCTGATTCAGGATAATAAATGTTCTAATTAGTATAGATTTTTCCAGATCACCCTTTCTTTTCAAGTTTCAAGTGGAGTTACAGACTGTATGCAATATACCCATTGATTGAGAGATTTTTTTTTTATTCAGCACAGTGAATGTTTGTACGGATGTGGAAGTATTGCTTTTCTTTGCAATCTAAACTTCCTGCTTAATATATCTGCTGCAGATTTGATAATTATCAGTATCCACTTATATCTTGAATTTAATCTCGTGAAGAACATAAAATCACAAGAAATAGGAGGAAGAGTAGGTCGTGCAGCCTTTGAGACTGTTTGCAAATTTGTTAACTGATCTACATTGACTTCACTTTCCTGCCCTATTCTAATATCACTGAATTCCATTAGCGTCTAAAAGTCTAATGATCTCGGCCTTGAACATGCTCAATCATTGAACATCCACTGCCCTCTGGGCACGGAATTTCAAAGGTACACATCCCTCTGAGTGAAAAAAAATTTGCCTTATCTCTGTCACAAATGGCCAAACCTTTACTGTGACACACCGGCTCCTTCTTGTAGTCTCTCCAGCTAAAGTAAATAGCTTCTCAGCATCTAACCACTGGAACTTTCTCAGAATTTCACATATTTGAAAGATTACCTTTTGTTTCTCTGACCTTGGGAAATAAAGACCCATTTTATTCAAGTTCTCCTCATAAAGCAATCTTCCCAAGCCAGGAATTGATGTAGTAGATAATAGATCCACCTGCTTTAAAGCAAATATATTTTCCTTACATAAGAATGCCAAATACTATACATTCCTTCTGATGTTGTCTCATCAAAGCCCTGCATAGCTGCAGCAAGATTTCCTTACTTTTATACGATAACCTTTGTGCAATAAAAGCTGACATACAGTTTGCCTTTTTAATTGCATTAGATCAGTCATTGAACACCAAATTATTTTACAGCTTTACCTTCGACGGTCTTCAACGAAAATCCAAAGCTCGAAGCTTGTTTCACCAGGTAGCACAGTTTGGGCCGTGGTGTTTTTCCACTGACTCCATTCACCACAGGCTGGATTGGAGTTGGATTGGGAGTGTTCACTTGAGACAGATTAATACCTTGCTTTTTGGCATGTGTATATGTGGTGTCATCCAGTACCAGAAGGGTAACACAATTCCCAGACTTTTTAATTAAATCTACCACCTGAAACAGAGAATGGCATTAGGCATGGGAAGTTGCCAGGTTCCCCTACAATTCCAAGCGTCTGAAATTGGTCATTACAAGCTTTATCCTCTGCCTCTACCTTTCCTTCATCCCATTATGCCTCTGCTGGTTCTTTGATAGTTCCACTCATTTGCCCTTTCCTTGTAGCCCTTCAAGTATTCATTCAATTCTATTGTGCAAGTTACCATGAATCTGTTTCCATGACCTTTTCAGGCTGTGCATTCCAGATCACAACATGATCTCCCCCTCCAGTTCTTTTGTCAGTTATTTGCAATATGGCTCCTCTTGTTAATGACCTTTGTTTCACTCAGAACAGTTCCTTATCACTCTATTAGAAACCTTCACATTTTGATCACCTTTAATTAAATTTCTCCCTTAACTTCTTTCCTCTAAGGAGATCAACCCCAGCTTCTCTATTCTCTCCACATAACTGAAGTCACTGAAACCATTTGACTAAATCTCTTTTGCACCTTCTCCAAGGCCTTGACCTCCTTCCTAAAGCTCAGGAGTGAACACAATCTCCATTTGCGATCTAACATGAAATGATTTGAAAACTGAGTTGGGTGTTGGCACAGCATTGTTGCTTTTGTACTCCATGCCTCTCCTTTTGATGAACATCTATAAATACATCGAGGGGAATTGACAGAATGGATGTTGAAAGAATATTTCTTTCCCCTTGTGACAGGGAGTAGAACAAGAGGATACAGTTTGGAGATGTTTTGGAGATGGAGAATAAATTTCCTCTCAGAATCTTTGGTCTGTGCAATTCTCTGCCTTTGAGACTAGTGAAGGCAAGGTCTTAATATCTTTAAGGTTGAGTTGGATCAATTCTTGATTGGCAAGGGAATCAAAGGACATTAGGGGTAGATGGGAAGGTGAAGTTGAGACGATAATCAGAGAAACCGTGATCTCATTGAATGGAGCAGGAGACAGGTGGGTCTGATTGTCCTACTCCTGCTCCTAATTTGTATATTTGTATGTTATTTTTGTATGTTCTTATGTACATTCTTATGTTTTGGCTGACTATGGGCATCTCAATTCAATTGAAAAGGAGTTTCTCTAATGACCGTTGCTGTGTGTGGTCAGATTGGAGGGAGGATGCGTTTGGGTGTTAGGCAATAAAAGTAAAATAAGATCATGTAAACCAGTTTAGTTTCTGACACCTAAATATAGATTTGCAATTCTCTGAATATTGGATTGAACCACGCCCAGCAACAAACAACTATTTTAGCAATCAGCTCTTAGAAACATAAATGATATTTTTCCATTGTTTTTCCCAGGTAGAAATGTAATCCTGTTGTTGTTCCTTTTCAAATCTAACTCTCTCTATAGCTTCTTAAGAAAAGCTTAAGGCCTAGCTGTTCCTCATGAACATAATAATCAGCGCTAGTTAATTAAGATATGACAAGTGTTATTAAGGGCATGAGCCCAAAGAGGATGTACTTCCTTCAAGATAATAGATGTCAACTATTTTCATTTTACTTCCATTGTTTTATTGCTATTTCTCCAAGCTGTGTTGCCTAGTTCACAATGTTACCATGAAAGCACACAGTTCAAATTGAGTTAAATTATAACCTGACACACAGAGTCTCACAGCATCCTAGGAATGAGCAATTTTTCATCACTTAATTGAGTAAAAAAAAACAATAAACAGTAAATTATATCTGCTTACTTCAAAGTACTGCAGACGCTGGAAATCTGAAATGGAATCTTGAGCTCCAAAGAAGAGTTAGTCTGGACTCAAAACATTAACTCTGTTTTTCTCTCCACAGATGCTGCCAGATCTGTTGAGTTTCCCCAGCACTTTCTCTTTGTGTTATCCTAGTCCCATATATATGTCTGTGTGCAGCTAGGGTATCTAACAGTCACCTTTCACCACATACAGCTCATACCTTTTGATGTTCTTCACCATCCACAAAAACCGTGTTGACCCTAATGACTCGATCACCATCTCTCAGTCCAACGGTGTCAGCTGGACCTCCTGTCAGCACAGAGCGGATCAAGTGGCCCTCAATGTTTTTCTCTATCCTTAAGTAGAAGCCGAAACTTTCACCTTCCTTCTTGGACAGTTTGCAAAGCCGAGGCTGAATGTCAGCTGCCATCACTTGGCGTTTTAATGACCTAAAGCAATAAAATATGTAACAGCAACCAATCAAATCAATACAGCTATTCAGTGTGAATCTTCCAATAGTCCCTTTAAATTAAACTGTTATTTAGTCTCAAAGGCAATAACAGATATCTGTCAACATTTTTGAAAATATCAAAACATTTTCTGAGAAGCTAATTGGTATACTTACCAATGAAACTAATACATTGAGCAGCATAGTTTTTAAAAGTCATTTTCTGATGTTTCAAATCGAGTTGCTGACAAGTGTGATATGATGGTTCAATGGTTAGTACTGCCAGGAACCTTGAGTTCGATTCCACTCTCAGCTGACTATCTGTGTGGAGTTTGCACATTCTCTCCAAGTCTGTGTGGGTTTCCTTCGGGTGCTCTGGTTTCCTCCCACAGTCCAAAGATGTGCAGGTTAAATGGACTGACCATTCTAAATTGCCCTTGGTGTCCAGGGATGTGTAGATTAGGTGGATTAGCCATGGGGAATGCAGGGTTATAAGGATGGGGTGGGTCTGGATGGGATGTTCTTCAGAAGGTGGACTGGAAGGGCTGATTGGCCTGTTTTCACACTTTAGGAATTCTTTTCTATGAATTACTGGATTAATTTTTGTTGATAGATCCACTTTCATCTGTCATCATAAAACTGTAACAGGTGACTGGAGTCATAGAGATGTACAGCACGGAAACAGACCCTTCAGTCCAACTTGTCCATGCCGACCAGATACCCTAAATTAATCTAGTCCCATTTGCCCGCATTTGGCCCATATCCCTCTAAACCCTTCCTACTCATATACCCATCAAGATGCCTTTTAAATGTTGTAATCATACCAGCCTGCACCACTTCCTCTGACAGCTCATTCCATACACACACCACTCTCTGTGTGAAAACTTTGCCCCATAGGTCCCTTTTATATCTTTCCCCTCTCACCTCAAACCTATGCCCTCCAGTTTTGGACTCACCCACTGTGGGGAAAAGACCTTGCCCATTTACCCTATCCATGCCCCTCATGATTTTATAAACTTCTGTAAGGTCTCCCCTCAGCCTCTGACGTTAGACAAATCTCAATAAAATTATATAATCAAAAAGACCCACTCTACTCACAATTGTAGATTTGCAAACAAAAACGAGCCACACTTAACTGCTCCCCTGCTGTGATCTCCTACTTTAAATATAACACAGAATACTTTTGAAAGATAAAAAAAACTACCTGATTGGGTTCGTCAGTGTAAAATCTCACATTTGTGATTATGCAAATATGTTTGAGTAAAAAATGATTTGGAAAGTATAACACAATTTCGAGAGTGTTTTCCTTCTTGATTTCTGATTGCTCCAGATTGAAAACTCAACCACCATATTCATAACAGTGTCCTGTTAGTGTGAATGGGATATAGTTGATGCTATATTGCATTTTCCAGCCAATTTTGACCCACCTTGTCTATTCGGAGATTGTCTGGTTTGGGTGCAGAACTGAGTTCATACTCCATCTAATTTTAATCCACAAGCAGCAATTAAGCTTGGACTCATAAATGAGAAGTAAGAGTAATACTACACAAGGACCAGGTTTTAGTTTTTCTTACTTTACACAAACATGCAACTACACTAACATAATTTCTATATTAGTTAGGAGGGTTAGTTTATTTGAAGAGGTAAAATTTGATATGTGTGATGAAAGAAAGTGAATGGACCAAAGCAACACTGAGGATGAATGTTTTCTTTCAGTTTGATCATTGTGCTGAATGCCCTCTAGTTAGCTAGGGTCAGGAATGATGCCAGTGTCTGAATATATTGTCATGTTCTCTATTAATGTTATATTTTTGACTATTGAATCCAAGTCATTTCGGGAGGCGATGGCTTAGTGGTATTATCACTGGGCTGTTAATCCAGAGACCCAGATAATGTCCTGGGAACCTGGGTTTGATTCCTACCACTGCAGATGGTGTAATTTGAATTCAATTTTAAAAACTAAATTAAGAGTCTAATGATAACCATGAATCCATTATCGATTGTCAGGAACCCATCTGGTTCACTAATGTCCTTTAGGAAAGAAAACAGCCACCCTTACCTGGTCTGGCCTACATGTGACTCCAGACCCACAGCAATATGGTTGACTCTTAACTGCCCTGTGGGCAATTAGGGATGGGCAATAAATTATGCACTAGAAAACCCAGATCCCTCTGCACCTTAGAATACAGCAGACATTCTCCACTTAATTAATAATCTGCGCTTTTTTATTCTTCCTGCCAAAGTGAACAACTTTATGTTTTCCCATGTTATGCTCCTCTGTTCTATGATGTTGATCACATGGAATGCCTACTCACTATATATGTTAATTCTTCTGGCCATCTCATTGTCTAACTTTGCAGCCTGGCTGATCATTTCATGGATTTGCAGATTATGATATGTGGTACATGCTCTTTGTTTGCTGCAATACTTGTACCCATTTTGTATCCAATTTTATTTTATCAAAGTGCTGAGCCATCTGTTCTGGCATTGGCAAACTACCTACATTAATACACTGGACCCTGCAAACAAAAAAAACATGTACATTAACTGTACCTATTCCAACCCCACAAAGTATGTGACAACCATTTGTTAGTTCATTTCTCAGGATAACGCTTTGATCAATCACAGCCAATTAACCTGGCTTAAAACTCAAAGGCAGTTAACTGTCAGTAATCATTAAATGGTATGTTCTCCGTGGCAATGCCTCCAACAATCAGTGTCTACTTGCCAACTAAAACAACTCTTCTCTTATACAATAAAATGTTGGTTATGCCTTAAATTAATGCAAATTATCTTGAGCATAGATGAAAAACTTTGACAAAATACATCTTTTTTGGTAATACTCAAGTCCTACCAAATGACAAATTAAAATTTAGTATTACTACTGAAGGAATAGAGCAAGAAATAAATTAAGCACACTTCCAACATTCAGTTAAACTAGCTTAAATATTCACACTCTCCACCATTGCTGCACGTAGCGGTAACTTATACCATCCAGAAGATGCAGTGCAACCACTCACTGAGGCTCTTGTTGTATGAATTGAACATATTTTCTTTGGAAATATGAATGGAAAATGAATGTTTTGTTTATTAGTTTTGGAAAAGTGTACATGTGTTATTGTCCTGGAAGAAGTTTTAGTACTTTTGGACTGCCACCAAGTGTCTTTGGACAAAAAAAAGTAACTGTTGAGAGATAGGGTTTGGATTGGTTGTGAATTTTTTTTAACACAGTACTGAGAGGAGTGAGTGCATTTGGAACTCAGACTTTCAATCCTGCCAGTAAGCAATGAATCTCCGTCTCAATTTCACTTTTAAGTGGAAAAGAAATAACACTCAAAGAATTTGCTAAATGAGGGCAATATTTCAATTCAAGTCAAGACCTAGATCCAACTGATCTGCTATGAAATTGCAGTATACAATAATGTAACATCATCACCAAAAACTATAAAATAAATGTGAGAAAGATGCTGTGAGCCCTGTTTTGTATTAGACTCTTATCTACAGAATTTTTGCCTATATATTTTTAATTCACAATATTCCTAAAATGTCAGCTTGTCTTGTTTTTCCTGTCTGTCCTTTATGTAAATGAATGTGTGTTTTAGATTTAAATATGATACAGCTTAACTTTGTATATTAGTAATTAACACATGAGTTCTGAACAGTATGCTCCTCTTAACCAACAAAACAAACAAGCAATCTAGTCGTTTTCTGGTCATTGCTGTTTGTAGGATTTGCTGTTTGCAGATTGTCTGCGGTTTTTCCTAATTTGCAACAGTAATTTCATTTCATGGTTTGTAAAACTGCTTTGGTATGTCCTGAGGTGTGAAAGGCACTAGATAAAGACATTACTTAAAAATAATCTTTAAATATTTTAGACAGGATGATGGAATGGGTAAAAGTGTGGCCAAGGAAATTTGATAAAGAACATATAAGATAGAAATGTCATTGGTAGCATTGATACAACATTAGCTAAGTGGCAGCAGAGTGTGAACAGTTGCTTTTAAGAATGGGCTGTAAGCAGTCTTTGATTCCATTAGTCCATAAACTCCAGTTCTTTCAAGTCCTTTTCAGCACTAATATGTCAACATATGAGGCCATGAACCCAGGTTTTAGTATTGGGTGTGAAACCAACATATTTCTGATGACTGAGAGCAGATTCTGAATGAAAGTGATGTTGCAAGAGGAACCAGAGAAAGGAAATGGCCATGAAACTGAGACCACTTCCCAATATATCTGCTAATGTAGGGTTTTCTTTTTGCATTTCTTCATGGAATCTGTTTCTGGTCAGCATTTGTTGCCTATCCTTGATAAGCTGATGGTGAGCCACCTTCTTGAACCATGAGCAGTCTATGTTGTGGAGGTGTTGTTATGGACAGTGTTGTTATGGAGGAATATTCAGGGTTTTGACTCAGCAACATTGAAGGAACGGTGATATATTTCCAGGTCAGAGTGGTGTGTGACTTAGGGGAATCTTGGAGGTGGTGATATTCTCATATCCTCCTAAGTGATCGAGATTGCAAGTTTGGAAGGTACTGTTAAGGAGATGTCAGATTTATGACATCAGATCTCTGTTGGGACATTTCTGATGGTAGGATCTCTGATGGGAGATTTCTGGCAGCAGGATCTCTGATGGGAAATTTATGATAGCAAACATCTTCGCAGGACGTATGAATAGCTGCAGATGAGCAGCAATGAGATTCCAAAGTCAATGTTGGTTTCAACCAGAGCTTTGGTCACACAACATATGAACTAGAAGCAGGAGTGGGCCAATCTGTCCCCCAGCCCACTCTAGCAATCAATAAGATCATGGCTGTTTGTAACCTCAAAATTGCATTCTCCATTTCCCACAATGTTTCTCACTCAGTTAACCTGTCTATGCGGTTGTTGACTTGCTCGCTGAGCTGGTAAGTTTGATCGCAAACGTTTCATCACTATTGCTAAGTAACATCATCAGTGTGCCTCTGGTGAAGTGTCGTTGTACTATCCCACTTGCTACTTATG